GAATATCAATTTACTGTTCACAACCGTTGGAACTGTAGACACCAGATGATCGGCTGGTTGTCTCCCCGAACGGCCACCTCCTTGTAAAAATCTATGTGAAAATTACGTTGGCCAATCGACCGGCCAAACATCCCCTAGTAGTCCACCCGGTCAACTGATGGTTTGATGAAACTCTGTTGGAACGCACAATATCAAATGAAACTTTTACTCAAATTTGATGAAAAAATGGTTAAATGTTGTAGGTACCCTTATATGAATTGTTTATAATTTATTTTAATTTGATAATTGTGTCAGACCGTTTGATATAATTTTTGTTTATAGTTCAATCAACAAATATAACTTACAAAGACGGAAAAAAGTAAGTGCTTGTTTAGTTGAATTTTCAAAAATTATTTTTAGAAGAATTCTCATTTATTTTTAATAATTTATTTTGATATTTTAACTATTTTTTTTCATATTTTTTAGATATATTTAATCAAGATACATCTAAAAAGTAAAACGAATTAACTAAAATATTTTAAAAAATAATTAAAAACAAACAAAAATTCAAATAAAAATTTGTGTACATTTTTATTTGGGTTTTCATTTATTTTTAGTTTTTTTTTTTGTTATGTTGTTTAAAATTTTTTACTTTTTAAATGCATCTAACCTTAATATATGTAAAAAGTAAAACTAAATTACTAAAATATGAATAAAGTTCAATAAAAACAAATGAAAATCCATCTAAAAATAAATTCTAAGAATTGTAACCAAACAAAGCCTAAAAGTTGAGAATGGAATAATTTTCACTTTTTTTTTTATTATTCATTTTTAGCCTTTTGTTTTTGTTTTTTTGAAGAAATGTCAATTTTTAGCTTAGTTGTACCAAACATACGAGAGAACTATATGGAAACTGGCAAATATCAATTGTGCATACCCCACAAATCAAAACATTTTGAAGATTGAGAGTTTAGTAGTGTTTGAAATTTTAATTTTTAGTTGAAAAAAATTAAAAAGTTAATAAAAAATTTTAAAAAAAATTTAAAGTAAAAAATTATTAGAAGAAGTCAAACACCTAATTCTCAAACAGGTTAATTTTTTGACTTAAAAAAAATCATTTTTTTTTTTAAGAAGATCAATTCCAAAATAAGCACTTGATAAGTTTACTTTTCAACTAATTTTCAACCCCTAATATGTATGGTTTCTATTTAAAATTTTGAAATTTACAACTAATAATTGAATATAATACTTTTATATTTATAGTCAAATGGGAGAATTGTGCACATTTTTATAAATGTAACATTTGCATTGCACATGTATTCTTGTTGTCAATAATATTCTATAGAAAAGTTTTTTTTTTTTTTAATGAATTACATGAAAGAAAAGAAAATAGAGTATAAATGATTTATTTTTCTATTAATTGTTCAATTTATACAATAATAAAAAAAGTGAATGCACCCAAACAATTTAAACTTTCTCTGTATTCTTTCTTGGAAATGATTTGAATGAAAAATATTTTTTTTAAGAAAACAGTTTTGATGGGAACTATATTTTCTTACAATAATTGAACACAGCCATAGAAAAAAAAAAAAAAAACATTTTTATTATAATTTTGGGTTAATTACACTTTTCATCCTTATAGTTTGATCCAAATTTCATTTTAACCTCTATAATTTTAATTTGAACAATTTGGTCCCTACACTTAAAGCATAATTTCAATCTGGTCATTCTTGTTTAAATTTTTGTTAATTTTGTCTCTATGTATGCATCTTAAAAAATTGATAAGTGTCTAAAAATTGTTAATTTTAACTTTCAATTTTGATGGAATAACCAAATTAAAACTAGACTTAAAATGACAAGTGTCCTAAAATTGTTAATTTTAGGGCAAATTACAAACACCCCCCTCGAGGTATGGTGAAAATACAAATTTCCCCCTGAGGTTTGAGAAATTACAAATTGCCCCCTGAAGGTCAAATTTGCATAACAAATTAGAGGGGAATCTGTATGAAAATAAAAACCTCAGGAGGCAATTTGTTATGGAAATATAAACCTCAGGGGGCGGGATGTAATTTCTCAAACCTCAGGGGGGAATCTGTATTTTCACCAAACCTCGAGGGGGGTGTTTGTAATTTGCCCTTAATTTTAACTCTCAGTTTAGACAGAATGACAAAGTTAAAACTGAACTTAAAGTATAAGGATCAAATTATTCAAATTAAAACTATATTGACTAAATTAAAATTTAAATCAAACTACATGGGTGAAAAATATAATTAACCATATATATATATATTGATTAATTGGAAATTAAAGCAAAACAAAGAAATAGTCACAGATACAAAACAGAGAGAGACTAGTCTCTCATCACACTACAACCAATCATGTCTTCAATGATCAGGGGACTAGTTTCTATTGGTGGTGTTTCAAGGAAAACAAGATGTTCATCTTGGGCAACGTCCAGATTTGCTAGTCTATCAGCCACTATGTTGCTCTCTCGCAGTGTATGACCAAGGGAGCAGTTGCAGCGATCCAGTAAGAACTTAGCATCTTCAATGAGGGCTTTGTAAGGAGAGTGTGGATTTGGGCCTTCTTGAAGTTGGTTAATGGCTTGTTCCGAATCAGATTCGATTACCACATCTCTGGTGCCTTTCTGGAAGAGAATTGTGAGGCCTCTGTAGATGGCCCATAGTTCAGCCTCCAAACTTGAGCAATGGCCTAGTTTACCATAGTAGCCCTATATCTAGCTTCCTGTCTCATCGCACAATAGTCCTCCATAGCTTGCTTAGTCGGGATCACCTTTGGAACACCCATCTACATTTAATTTTAGTTTGCCTGCAAGTGGATGAAACCAACGAATTAGTCTAGGAGGAGAGTAGTGTGGGTGAAGAGGAGATTGAAAAGCCTCATCAATTTCAACCACAAGGTCTGTGATCTTCTTGAGGCTATTATGGAATGGGTTGCTTCGATTTTCAAAAACAATTGAGTTTGGATCCTTCCAAATTTGCCAAAGAGAAACAATAAACACAAAGGACCATCTATGTCCTTGGTATAGGATTTTACTTTTAGAATTATAAGTAAACCATTCCTCAAGAGGCTTGTCAATTCCCTTATCCTACCACTTGGTGTTTTGGAGATGAAGTCATATGTCTTTGGACATGGGGCAGCTACACAATAGGTGGTTCATGTCTTCACTGAACTGTCCACATGTAGGGCAGAGATCTGTTTGAGATATATTCCTCACAAGTCGCAAACGATTGGTTAGAAGTCGTCCTTTCAAGACTAGCCAAAGGAAATATTTTAGTTTTGGGGGAATTTTAATTTTCCAAATCCATTTCCAGTCCCTGTTAGTCAGGTTAGTGTTATCATTGGAAATTAATTTATAAGCAGAAGCAGTAGTGAAGGCACCACAAGAAGAAGCAGCCTAGGTAGGAGTATCAGAACAAGAGACAGAGGAGTGCCTAGGAGTATTGAGGATAGTTTGAAGGTCCTGCTGGTGAAGCAGAGTGGAAATCTGATCAAAGTCCCATCTGCCTGTTTCATCCAAGAGTAAGCCAACCTTGTCAAAGTCATTGACAGGATAGGAAGGATTCAACTGAGAAAGAGGAAGTTTACCACACCACCAATCTGTCCAAAGAGAGATATCCTTCCCATTACCCACAGTCCATTTAACACCTTTTTTTAGGGCATCTCTATACTTACACATGCTCCTCCAAATGTGAGAAGATCTTTTCTTCAGAGGCTAAGAGTAAAAACTATTATGATTCAAGTATTTAGAATGGAGCACTTTACACCAAGGTTTATTGCCCTCGGTCAGGAATTTCCATCCCAGTTTGGTTAACAACGCAGCATTTTGTATTCTAGCTTTCTTGATACCCAAACCTCCCTCAGTTTTACTTTTACACACACTATCCCAGTTGACCAAATGGATTTTCTTATGAGTCCCAGAATCACCCCAGAGGAAATTACGGTTAATTTTGTCAATCTCATCACAAATCTTTCTAGAAAACTCCATGGTTTGCATATTATAGGTGGGAATGGTTGAGGTAACAGATTGGATAAGGGTTGTTCTACCAGCCAGGTTAAAGGACTAAGTCTTCCATCCAGTCAGTCTAGTTTTCATTTTGGTGAGGATATCATTGAAAATATTCTTGGTGATTCTGCAGCGGAGCAGGGGGGAGCCAAGGTACTTACCAAGATCTTGGGTATGGGGGATGCCACAGTGAGAGATAAGGGATTTAGCTAGATTTCTATGGATGTTGGGAGAGACAAAAAGTTTAGACTTAAGATGATTAACTTTTTGGCCAGAGATTTCACAAAATTCAGAAATGACCTCCATAATGGTATCACAGTTTTTATGGTCAGCATGAGCAAAGAGAATAAGATCATCAGTAAAGAACAAGCGAGATAAGGGAGGGCTATTAGCAGAGGCCTTGAGACCTTTCCAGGATCTCTTTTGTACTTTGTAGTTAATCATATTAGACAGTCTTTCCATACAAAGCACAAACAGGTAGCGTGAAAGAGGGTCTCCTTGTCTGAGACCCCTTTTGTTGTGGATACCATCCATGATTTCTCCATTCTAGAGGATGGAGGATTGACTGTTAGAGACACAACTCATGATTAAATTAATCCATTTGTCATTAAGTTTGAATTCAAGAAAGGTTTCTCTAATAAAGTCCCAAGAAAGTCTATCATAAGGCTTTTCAAGATCGATTTTAAACACCATACCGCCTCTCTTGCCTTTTTTATGCTTCAGCATATCTAAAATCTCCTGAGTAATGATAATATTATTAGTGGTGTTTCTTCCAGGAATGAAACTACTTTGGTTAGGACTGATCAAAGTATCAAGGAGAGGTCTAATTCTACCCATGATGAGCTTGGTTATGGTTTTGTAACTAACATTACATAGGCTGATGGGTCTGAATTGCTTAATGGTTTCAGGATTTTCCATTTTAGGGATCAAAACAATAAGGGTTTCATTGATAGAAGTAGGGACATTATAATTCATAAAGTAAGTTTGGACAAAATCACACACAGAGGGTCCAACAGTACTCCAATAGTTTTGATAAAAAAATAGCCTGGATACTATCCTTACCAGGAGCTTTGAAAGCACCAATGCTCTTCACAGCTCCAACAATTTCATAGTTACAGAGAGGTTTGAGAATACCCGCATTATCATCATGGGTGAAATGGGTTGGTGCTACGTTGTGCCAATGCTCAAGGTGACTAATGGGCTCACTATTGAAGAGATTATGAAAATAATCCGGGATAAGAAGCTTAAGACTATCAGCCTCAATAGTCCAATTGCCAGTAGAGTCTTTAAGAGAATTGATTTTGAGTTTCCTTCTCTTGGTGATAATAGAAACATGAAAGTATTTAGTATTCCTATCACCAAGAGTTATAGATTTAGACCTAGACTTTTGGAACCGTAACACCTCCTCCTAGAAAAGAGTAGTATTATAGGATTTGATGAGATCCTTTTCCAGTAAATGCAAGTTATGAGAAAAATTAATAGCAATGGCTCTTTGGATGCCCTTAATCTGAGCAAGGAGATGTCTTTTTTGTTTTAAAAATATTATTGAACACTTCTTTATTCCATTCTTTAACCCTACGGGTGAACTCGTCAGTAGAGTCAATGAGGTTATTCTTCATATCAGTCCAGGAGGAGATGATAACCTCAATAAGGCCTGGGTGGGTCATCCAAGCAGCTTGAAATCTGAAGGACCTATGAAGGGGGGTATGAGAATGCATACCTTGGGTGTAGACTATCAATGGTGAGTGATCAGAATAGGCTCTTGGAAGAACCCTGACTGTGGCTTCTGGTAACATGGTTCTCCAATTTGAGTTGCACATAGCCCTATCCAACCTCTCCATAGTGTTGGCAAGACCATGTCTATTGTTCGTTCATGTCATTCTGGGGCCCGAACTCCCTAGGTCAATCAGGTTGCAGTTATTGATCCTGTCCAGGAACTTTTGGCTACAAGCAGAATTTTGGGAAAGGGTGTAGCATCGTCTTTTCCCTTGGTTAGCATAATCGTTGAAATCACCAGCTACCAACCATGGTTTATCCATACCACTAGCCACTACCTCCAGGTCCTCCCACAGGTTTTCCCTGGTAAATTCAACATAGTTTAAAGAAGGTGGCTATTTTCCTCCCATTCATTGTTTGGATTAGAAGGTCCATCTTGGGCCATTGTGGACCTACTTCGAGTCCACCTCGATGATGTAGATTGTTTATTTTTTAGTGTATTCCGTACACATCATTTATGAAAAAAAATTAAATTTAGTCAATATTAATAGCCAAATCATGTTTTAAATTGTATAAATAAATAAATAAATTCCAAGTATAATTTTGTTGGATGTATAATTTGTAAAAGCCAATCACAATTCAACACATGGCACTAAGAGGACAATTTAGGGAGTTAATACAAGTTGCCAACCAAAGTCAGGCACGTGTCAGTCCATATTGGTAATAATGGATCCGTGTAACACTGGAACAATCGAGGGATACAAGGTGATATGGCCTAACGGTTACTCACCAAGTTTAAATTCAAAATTAGGAGGGAAGCCTAACTGCAAGAGTGGCGTAGTGGGATTGACTATGAAAGAACATGTTCAGCAATCATGGGAGGACATTTCGACGGTTGGAAGCCCACTTCGACGGTTATCATTGAAAAGTATAAATAGCAGAGAAGGCCCCAAAATGAAAGATCCAAACTCAGATCAAAAAACTAGTTTATTTACTTCGTTTTTCCTTCCAGTTTTTACAGTTCTTTATATTTCAACACTTCAATTCCCTTACTGTACTTCATTTCCTAGGAGTAGTTTTCAAATAGCTTGTTGCTGTAAACCTCTACGAGGCTAGGTCAGATCATTGTAAGTTTTCATTCACTTAATGAAATTCAGATTCTAAAATTGTTCTTCACTTGTTGTTATTTATTAAATTCTCCTAAACAAGCCACCAATCAAAGTACTCTTCATTGAGGCTGAGAGAACTAAAACACAATTGTCTGATAATTGGTTGGGAATTAATATTCTTTAAGGACTAATTGATCCTTGCTGGCACGCTTAAAATTACGTTATCAACCTTCAAAATCCAAAAAGCCAACATATATTTTTGGCATGCCCAGTGGGACTCTAATTGAAATGGCTAGATATAGGAGACAAGGAGAAAATGAACGCCTGGAAGAAGGTGTGGAAGGAGAGGTAGAAGTACCTGATCCAGAGGATAATGTGATAACACATCTTATGGAAGCACCTATCTCATCAGAACCTATGGTCGAACAGACCAGAAATTCAGAACATGCACCACATGTTCAAAATATTAGACGAGGCCATGGAATTAGACCATCCATTGTTCCATCTACCCAGTCAATGAATCCATGGGGAGGCTTAGTAGATGCCATGGGACAGCAGTTAATGTACACAATGGAAAGATGGGCAACATCCTTTATGGATCGAATGAATTCCCATCAACCAACTAGCACAAGGCATATGGAGGAAAATTCAAATGTTCCTCAGCAAAGATTGGCTAAAGATAAACAACCTATATACAATAATGGACATACTAATGGTCAGACTAGTAATCAAAATTATGAAAGACCATCACTTATACCTCAATCATGGTATGAGCCTCTTTTGAGGCCAGTGGTAAATCAAATGCCTCATTACCTAACAGCGAAACCATACAAATTGGTGGATCTGGGCTAACACAAGAAAATGGCATGAGAGTGTTTCCAAATCTGGCACAAGGGGGTTCACTAATCCTCTGTTCGAATTCACACTCGGGAGGTTAGAAGGGTTTCCTGTGGCTGGGAGAGAAACAACACATGTTCATCCTATTACAGCACCATTCGCAGGTCCTTTTGTAGGACAGGCTCAGAGAGGTCAACCATACCCTCAATAGCAGCCAGTATCACAGGGACAGCCAATCCCAAATATACCTCCTTATGGACCAAGAGGACCTCAAGCACAAGGGTTTCCACCAAATCTTGTGTTTGTTCCGCCAGTGGTAGTCCAACAAGCACAAAACATGGTTCATAGGGACCAAATTGCTGATATTGTCAGAGAAATGCGTGGACCTATGGCTTTAGGGGTTCAAACTCTTGTGTATAGGAAGCCATACCCAAAATGGGTGGATAGGGTGCATGAATACCTAAGGGGGTCTAGAATACCAGACTTTGCTCTCTTTTATGAAAATGGAAACCAGTCAACAGTAGAACACATTGCTAGGTTTGTAGCCCAATGTGGTGAATTTACCAATAATGATTATATGAAGTTAAGACTTTTTCTAAATTCTTTAACTGGGGCAGCCTTTGTATCGTATATTAACCTTACACCTGGTTCTATCCAAACTTGGCAGCAAATGGAGGAGGCATTTCATGTCTAATTTTTCCAAACGGAGCCTGAAGTTTCCATTGCAGATTTGGCAAGGTGAAGCCAAAGGCCTGATGAGAAGGTTGCTCAATTTATTGCCAGATTCAAAAGAGCACTTAACAAATGTAGGGTCATTCTACTAGAGCCTAAATTTATGAGACTGGCTCAAAATGGTTTAGAGTTTAGGCTTCGAAAGAAGTTTGATTCAACTGAGTTTCGAGACTTAGTGGAATTAACCTATAAAGTGTCTAGATATGAATCTTTACTTGAAGAAGAGCAAGATTGAAGTAATGCATCATATAAGGCTTATTACAGGGACCATAATTATGAAATTGAAACAGCAGAGATCATAGGGAAAGTGCCTATGACCCGTGAGACATTAATTCATAAGGACACTACAATAGACTGGCAATTCAAAAAGAAAGGCCTTCATAGGAAGTATTCTTTTGATTTAACAAAAGCATATGATATTTTTGATCATTTGCTTGCAGCAAATTTCCTAAAGTTACCAAATGGAGTTAAGATCCCTACCCCAGAGGAACTTAAAGGGAAAATGTATTGTAAATGGCACAATTCTTGGTTTCATTCAACTAAACGTTGTATTGTTTTTCAGGACAGGATCCAAGAACAGATTTGAAAGGGGAGTTTAAAGTTCCCAGCCAAGGCAGAGAAAGCTATGGGGATTGACACTAACCCATTCCCAGAGATTGGGGAAGCTACAACCAATGTTGGTGTGCCAGATTTTCAAAACCTATCCTTGAAGGAATTGGAGGAGGTTAATGTGCAGATGTATGTTGCCAGCCAGACTGCTTTCAAGAAAGATACCAAAAGTTCACCAGCAAATGGACAAAACTTTGCAGACCAAAAGGAGGACTCTAGTGAGGAGGCACTGGATGATGACTCTCTAGAGGCAGCTATCATGCAAAGGATGTGTCCCAGATGTAGGTTAAGTTGCAAATGGTTGAAAGGTCTCCCAATTGATGGAAAACAGTATTACAAGGATGTGCAGAGACACCCTAAACCAACCAGTACCTATAACAAGAGGCCATACCCAACTGGTTCCAGACAGCAGCCATTCTTGGCTGGACCTCCAGCCGCTAAAGTGCATCCCAAAGGTAAAAGACCTCTGCATGAGTTCAAACCATCCAATTACTATAGGATGGAAGGCAATTATCTTGAGAGGAGGCCTAAAGTGGGCTTAAGTTATTGAATCAGAGCCAAAGATTGGCCTCCAAGATCAGCCTCAAACAAGATGGAAAGTAACCACCCAGACAGAAGGCCTGAATTAGGCTCAAAACAAGGGATCAGGCCAAGCAGTGGCCTCCACAGGCATCTTCAAAGCTAGCTTCGAAGGCAAAAAGAGCTAGTTCAACAACTGAACTAGTGAGTTCATAAGCACCTGGGGTTCAGATTGGTTTGTCATGCAGAACAAGCCTAAGGAAATCCCTGCCCAAAGAAGTGTTTTTAGAGACCAGGGTAGAATGATTAAACCTCTCTTGGTGGCTCCAAATAATTAGGTATTACTAAAGCACCCAAAAACAAAGGAACCAAATATGGTTCCAGTAATTTCTAGGTTTCAAAGGAGGAAGATCCAGCGAAGGTACAGTCAGTAGCAAAAGGATCTGAAGGAAAGTGGAGAGAGTTCTTCATTGGCCCAGGTAGAGGGAAAAGAAAGTCCAAAATTGGATCCTAGTCCAAAATTGGCTCCTCAGAACAAAAGAAGTGTCAGCAAAGAGCAGTTAGCCGAAGTTCACATTGAACTGAAAGCCAGGGAAAGATCCAGCCTAGCAGGTCTTGAAAAGGCCTTGATGGAAAGTGACAGTGAGACAGAAAGAGAAGTTGAACTAGGCCAAAGTAAAGAAATGGCTGAGGATGAGATGTTTGAAGCCTTCATGGCTGAACATACATTTTTGATTGAAAAACCAACAGGAGCAGACCATTCAAAGGAAGCCACTAGTACTAAAGTACCCGAGTGCAGCATGGAAGATGTAACGACCCCAAAATGCGTATCAGAAATTATCTTTATTTAATTATGGGTTAATGTGCTTCAATTTAATGATATCTGTTTGAATTGAGGAATTATCTGTTGAGTTATGATTTTAAAACTGAAATTGCTGACCTTCATAGGTCCAGAAACCGAAATTGAATACATGGATATACTAATGGGAATTTTTAGAGCCATTTGGGAAAGTTAATTGAAAATTTATTTTTTCTGATTCGTTAAGGTATGTTTGGGTGGTTAACTTTGCACTGCAAATTAAAGGCCTTAGAGGCTTCAGAAGCCAGAACGAAATACATAATTATGATCAGCATAATTTTTAGAGTCATCTGTGAGGTTTAATTGGAATGTGATTCAGTCTGATTTGCTAAGGCGTGTTTAGCAAGCATGTTTAGCCATATACATATATATGTACTAAAAGCCCTTTTGAGTCCATCTTCTCTCATTCAGGGGAGTGAAAAAATCTGGAGAGTCACCCAAGAGAGAGAAACAAGAGAGG